TATATAAGTAACAATAGCTACAATCTAATCCTCAGGCACCAGTTCACTGTCTACTGGTTTACCAAAAATTATGGAGATAAGTTTGAATATCTTATATTTAATCTTCTTTAAAACCTTGTCTGGCTCTTGTGATTTATATCTTTGTAATCTTTCATTTTTTTCTACTTACCGCAAGGGGATTAACATCTACAAGAATCAGGTCAATTATAATAATTCCCATAAAATGCTAAGGGTTTCTAAAAACGGAAGAGAATAATTAAAAACTCAGCCATCTTATGATTTAACAAAAGCTTGCCATCAGCATATTTTAAGGGTCCAATCCCCATGTTAATGATATGGTTTCCACTAACATGCTTAACCAAATCCTCTCTGTTACTTTGAACATTATCAACCAGCTGTTTATCGTAAAATCTTCTGGATTTTTCAATTTCTTTGATAACAAAATCCCTAGCTTTCCTACTGACCTAGCTTTCAATATAAATTTCTTAAACTTATTTTAAATTTATCCCCACCTTTCTCCTTTACGATTTTAGTAAACCAAATAAGTCTGACTGTACCTTTTAACCTTTCCTTTTTTTGGAATTAAAAACAATTTATTTTTAAAATTTCCCAAATCTGTCTCACATCATCTTTTACCTTTTAATTTATTATCCCAGTTCACTAATGATAAATCTTGTTACACAGCCTCAAAATAGGCTTTCTGAAAAATCAGAAACTTAATTAAGTCCATAAAGTTGCATCATTATCACAATGGAACAGTGCAGAAGGCTACATGTTAAAAGCAGCTGAGCTACAAGGAAAAGTTGCTTTAGTTCTTACCACTGTACTCCTAACAGTTGTTTAACAAAAATGACATCTTTTTCCTGTCCAGTGTCATAATGTAATTTTAGCACTGGCAAGATTTCAAGTTATAATGAAAAAATCAAGTAAGAGTTTGTAATTAATGTACCATATTACATATTTTATGACATAGACTATTTTCAAAAATATTCAAAATGTATTTTTTATTTTGTTCAATATCATTTAGATGGCCAATGTTGACTGTGAATAGGTTATTTACATCAGCTCATATTCTATTCACAGTTGAAATGTTATTTCAAAATGCATTTATACATTAGCTCTATATGTATCTAAACAAATACCTTGTATGCAATGGCAGCATTATTGACAAGTATGTCCAACCCTCCATATACTTTCAGCAAAAATTCTTTCAGACGACAAATGCTATCTGCATCGGTGATATCCAGCTGATAAAATATTGGGTTTAAGTGCAATTCTTTAAGCTTTGCAACAGCATTCTTGCCACGAATTTCATCTCTTGCTACAAGTTATAAAACAATTCATCTTTTAAAATAATTGTATAAAATAAAAGATATGTGCCAGCAATTTAACTACTATGACCGATGAAATTAACAATGTTAAATTTCCAAGTATTTTGATATGACATATCATGCTCCTTGTAAAAATAGTTAATGATTGTAACAACATCTGGGATTGTCATTCAACTAAAGTTAAGTCTGGGATTTAGACAGGCTAAGACAAGTTGTGGATGTTACTTGTCTCAAACCACTGTGGTTTTTATCCAATGAAAATCAATAGTATTTGATAAGTTTAACTGAAAAAAATCAACATTATGTTATTAATCTAAATATTTATGGAATGATAAAATTTGTATTTGAAAAAAAAGAAAAAAATTGGTCCTCAGAGTAATTTCATTAGTTATTGTCTGGCCTTTCATTGGTCTAATTTAATATGTTCTAATATGTTTACGTTTTTTTACATATTATGAATGATTACTAAATAATCTTTAAAGTGGCTAATAGATAAAATCTACCAATAGTTTTAAAATAATTTACATATGAGAATGGCACACTGTACAGACAAACAACATGCATATGCATATCCATCACTTATCTTTATGTACACAAATGATACCTTATGAATAAAATTAACCTTCAAATTAACTTTACATATTAATACTTACCAGTCAAAATGATATCTCCTTTGAATTTTGTACACAGTGATTTTACAATGGCAAAGCCAATTCCTTTGTTTGCACCCGTTACCTTTAAATAAATAAAAAAACTATAATTTTTTTCATTTACATAAAAGATTCCTATTGCAAAAAGTACATAAAGTATATAGGTTAGTTAGATATGCAAGTCTAGATAATAGAAACATGCATGCATGTAGGTACAATCAAGATAGAATAAACTTTTTTGCCCCCTATTTCTGCCCAAATCTTCTGATCCAACCTTTTACCATTGGAAAGTTGGACTATAAAGAACCAAAATATTTGACATATATAGGATGTAGAAATGGGTCTTCCTATCCTGAGTAAAATTTTTTTAATACACAAACTTTAACGTGTGATTCATTCATAAAGAGTGTTTGTGAGCCAAGTAAACTCAGTTGTAGAGATAAATATAGCCCATATGCAGACAGGTGGATCACATTACCTTAGACAATAAAACATAGCAAACTATCAAAATATTTCATATTATACACCTAGATTATCAAAGTATTCTCAAAGTGAACATTTTCCTTATCTGAAGATGTATTTCTGATGCATAATCACCTCTCCACAGAACAAATAGCACTGTTGAGAAAAAATTTCTTACACATGTATCAAGCTGTTTAGAAAACTTTCACCCCTACATGTAATGATGTAATTTGCACTAGTCTATGATACAATCAGCATTAGCCTATACCCCTCTGTTGAAAAAGCTTTCACCCCTACATGTAATGATGTAATCTGCACTAGTCTATGATACAATCAACATTAGCCTAAACCCCTCCAACAATAGGAGGGTGATACATCCCCCTTGCTCAGTACTCCTCTCACGTACATTGTGTATACCACAAGCTTACTTTTAATAAGGCACACCACAAGTGAGGAAATATCAATCTTAAATATATTTTCAGATGAAATGTTAACTTCACACTACATTACCTCTCCACAAAACAAATAGCTAAAATCTCGTACTGAGAAGATGGTGGAGCTCCTTTTTGAGAAAATATTTATAGAAAGCAAAATTTCATGGAGTATATCTCCCACTAAGAAAGGGGAGAAGAACCTAGTGGTAATCCTTTGGCCAATAAAATTGGTTGCTCAAAAAGGCCCTATCAAAAGAACTTCCAAGTTTTTGTTAAAGTGTATCAAAAGTGAGTGGAATGTGAAGGCTGCTCAACTGTCCCATATACATTATGAGAAATAAAAATAGAAAAAGGGGACAAAGTAGGTATATAATGCAAATTCTATTAAGCAAATATGCATAAATATAAGCACAATGCATTATGATAAAAAATGTGAAAAGACAATAGACTACATTGTTCAGAACATTAATGTTTTGTATATGAGCTCTTTCCTTTATATATAGCTTAACACTGTGCTTTCATGCTTCCAGACAGTTTATCAATGAAAGACTTGTGGAATGGTGTTCCAAATATCTTTTAATACTTTCCACAATTCCTTCAAGTTGTTCTGTTTAACTTTCTCAGCATTCATGTAAACCCAAATGGCCTCCATGATATTCATACCAAGACTTTATGAAGGCCATGACATCTTTGCAAGTGTTCCATGAGCCTCTTTACATTCCAAGCAAGTTTTCCACTACATTAGCTGTATGCTTGGTGTCATTGTCATGTTGAAAGATAAAACTCTACTCAATGAGACATGTTCCTGAGAAAAGACATGATAAATAAAAACCTGCATGTATCCATCAGAAGTCAGGTTGCCTTCAATTTTATATAAGTCCCTGACACCCTTGGATGAGATACAGCCCCACAGTTGTATTGGTCCACCTCCATACTTTACTGTAGCCATTGTACGTTGAATATTATACTGACCTCCAATACGCCTTCAAATAAACTACTGTTGATTATCATCAAACAGCTCAAACTTGGACTTGTCTATAAAGAGCACTTTTTCCAGGTTTCATCATCTCATTGTTTGATTTCTGTTAACCATTTCAGTATTTTTTGTCTTAAAAGAAAGATGATACAGGAAACAGGTAGCAAAAGTTTTAAATGATGCCTTGCGATAGTCCGGAGAATTAAACAGTGATTCCAGTCCAGAAGGAAGACCACAAGCAAGGAGGGTGGCAAATTAGATAAATCTGAAAGAGGTCTGTAAAAACCAAAGCATGAAAATGAAAATGGCCAGGTCACCAACAAAGCCCCTTTGTATCAGGCAACTGTAAAAAAGAAAAGACTGTTCTTAAAAATCCAGGTAAAAAAAGAAGTGAGATGAGAGGAGTCAAAATGACCTGGAGGAAGAAAGTGGTAGACAGACCCAAATCAAAAAACCATCAACTGGTGCTGATAAATTGCAAGGGTAGATGGCTGAAAAAGAGTGAGCAAAAAAACATGCTACATGGCATTTAGTGGTGAAAGATGGGTGTCCAAGGCTGATGTGTCTTTTTGTTATGAATTTCGTGCGAAGCTACATGAGGGCTATCTGCACTATCCATCCCTAATTTAGTAGTTTAAGACTAGAGGGAAGGCAGCTAGTCATCCCCACCCACTGCCAACTCTTGGGCTACTCTTTTACCAACCAATAGTGGAATTGACTGTCACATTATAACGTAATCATGGCTGAAAGGGTGAGCATATTTGGTGTGACGGGGATTTGAACCTGTGACCCACAGATTGCGAATCAAGTGCCTTAACCACCTGGCTATGCCGGGCCAGGCTGATGTGAAAAGGACTTTCAAGATGAAAGAAGTAGAAGCAGAAAAGTTGAAACCACAACTGAGTTAGCCAATAGAGAGCAGAAGTGCAAAGATCCCAACAATATGTGCTGCAACTTATACAGCATCCTGGGAATAAGACAAAGAGAAGGATAGGCATATGGAGAAAGGGTGGACTAATCCTGACTCAGGGCATTCACCAAATTTGAAACTTCTGGAACATGATAAGTCGTCAACCAAATGTGGCGATCATGAGCCCAAAAGAGGAGCTCTAAACCATGTACCTCCTTGTCAATAGATGTAAGAAATGAGAGAAAAATTATCTGAATGTATCACAGAAATATATCCATACAGATGTGACAAAAAATGGTAGCAGGCCTGCTGAATTGCCAACATTTCAATAACAAACAATGGAAACAAGGATGGTGTCCAGAACTGCACCCCACCTGGAAAGGTGTAAGTCCAGTTTAGGTGGGGAAGATGGATGGCCAGGACCATATGGGAATGATTGATGCATCACGGCAGTGAAGTGAAGAGATAGGGGAAGAAACACAAGAGAAATCAGTTGATCTCTGAAGATATTCCACTGATCTGCAATAGTTCACTGAAGAAGTTACAAAGTGGTGAGTCTGAGAGAAATAGGGTATTCAAGAGAAACTAGATTCCCCAAAAAAGCCAGGACTTCTCACACAGAAAGAGAATGGAGCTTTGGTAAAATGAAGTTCCATGACTCAAAGTTGAAGAGGAGAAGGTGAGCTCACCCAATAAATGAGTAGAAAAGACACCCTAAATGAATCAAATTCTCACTAGGGTCAATATAGCCTTGGAAAACAAGAATATCCAACCCAAATGACTCCTGAAGGAGAAGAGAGGTCAGACCAGAGTATGCCAATCATGCATACAGTAGTGGAAATACAAATCCAACAAAATGTATTGGCCATGCAAAAGCCCTAAGGACCCAGTTATAAATATACAGGGCTGTAGCCAATCTGAAAGAAAAGGCCTAAGCTGGAAAATCTGACTATTGTGGATGCAACAAATTAAGCAACAGGTGGCTAGATAAATCACAATGTGGGTAAAAGCATCCAAAACATCGACCTTTGTCATCTACAACCCAGGAGAGAACACCCACCTCAGATGATGAAATCCTTTCATCTTGAACCAATGAATTGGTTCAAAGACAACAAATCTATTATAGGCTACCAATTCCCCACCTTCTTGAGAACAACAACAAAAAACAGACATGAGTAAAAATCTGGAGTAGAGTTAAGGACCTGTTCCACTCCGTTCATTGTCCAGAAGTAAGAGATCTGAGGAGGGGAGTGAAAAGAAAACTGGAGAAGGAAAGAGATAAGGTTGAGAGCAGAAGAACAGGGAAAGCCCATGAGAGAGCACATTGTATGACCCAAGAGTCCTCTGCAAAGGGAATTCACAAGCATGCAAAGTGGAAAGGTCAAATTCCCATATGACCAGAGGGAAGGATGATTCCAAAAGCAAGTAATCTTTGAAATCCTCAACAGTTAGAATAATGTAAGGGGGATGTCAGAAAGTGATTATAGGACAAGAAGCAGGTTAGGGAGTGGCCTTTGAGGCTCCACATGATGAAAAACCTGCTGAGTTTCTCTGGACAAAAATAAGTAGAAAACCAGAGTGAGCAAATCTATTGTTACGTCTCCGTTTGTTAATTGATTTCCCGTAAATTCGTTCCGACGAAACTTTAGCGACACAAGTCCTTATTTAATAAAACTGGTTTATTCTTTCTGAATATAACTTTACGATACACTTAATTACAACAATCGTGCTAAAACAAACGGTATAACAACGAACGTGCTCAATAATACTCTCTGACTGCAGATCAATTACTCACTGTCTACACAAACATTAATGTCCCGTCACGTTGTCACCCTCTTAAATATACAAGACTACCCTATATCTAGTAAATTCTAGGGCATTCACCAAGGTACAGGATAGTTCTAGAAACGTGGTATGACACTAGTCATGTGACCTCGCTGACGCAACAATATCTTCTTATGAGCTGTTTTAGCTATTTCCCAAAATATGAGCAACTCCCTCAAAAACCTCATCTTGAAGAGAAGGGTGCAAAACAGAATTCCCCAAGATAAAAGTGAGGGAGTTAAACTCCAGAAAGTAAAGCATCCCAACAAATAAGTCCCATAAACAAAGAAACCAAGTTAACTGGGCAACTGTTGAAGAATAAATTGATGCAAACATGAAGAACAAGTAGCTAAGACTCCCCAGTAAAGCTGTTGGAGTTGTGGTGCACAGCCTCAAAAAGAAGGTGAAAATAGAACAGATATAGCAAAGAAGCTGAGCAAGCCAAAGGTATTATACAAGGTTTAAAGAAATTGTGAATCTATAATGTATTTTACATGGTTCATACAGAAACTTGTAGCAAGTAAAAAATGAGTATAATGGTTAGATATTGTTTCATTTAAATTTGATGCAAGAGTTCTGATCAAGACAGTTATAAAGCATCTTGTTAATTGGGTTCTAAGGTAACTGATCCAGCTTATATGGACTCTTGATGTAAAGAGATGCTTATTTAAAGCTCTGGATACAACTGTAGTGATTAACTATGTAATGAACATTTGTATTTATATGTTTGACTCATATAATATTTGATATGTTACTTTAAAACAAGTGGATTGTGTGCTGTCTGTTTATTGTTGAAATTTATCACCAACAAGTCACAGACATCTACTGTAAAGAATCACGGCCTTAAAAACCTGACAATAATACAAAATTGCAAGACTGAGTGAGTTAATCAGATGATCAGTTCAGTGTCAATTTTAATGAGAGTTATTTATTGTCTACTCAACTGTGATTAATCTAATAAGCTAGTCAATGATTTAGTTAGGATGTTTGTTGTGTTTTTTATTGATTGATTAATGAGAAAATTATTCAAGTTTGTTTGCAAATTAGGAGGATATTAGTTAAAGAATATCCTTGTTATAACCTTAACATATCACATGACCTGCAGTTGAAGAAAACTGCTATTAACTTAGATATATTAAGTGCAACTTTCCAGCATTTACAGTGATCTCAAATAACTTGCTAATATTCTTTTCTTTAAATAAACATGTACATACCACAAAAGAATTATCGAGGTCTGGAGTAGTTTTGATTCTCTTTAATGTACGATTAGTTTTACTAAGAATTAATAACAAAACTCAAAGACATTAAGGATTATATTCATTTTAACTGATTTTAAACTTAAGAAGGTTGAGTTAATTATATTAAAACAATTTTTGAGCCTTATCACATCATTACAATACATGTTGACACATCCAGTCATGCTCTATATATCTGAAAACTATACATCTTGTCAATATTAATGAAGAATTTTTTAAGATGTTTTTCATTTGTTTATTTCAGATGTGTGCAGTTTTCACATAATACAAGGAAGTTGTGAAGTTGATTTTGCTCTAGCTACCTATTGTTTTGCATTGTTTCCCTGAGATAACACTTAACCTTCTCATGATGAAAACAGCTGTAAAGTTTTTCTTAGTATAACAAAGTATACAGCAGTTTTCTCCTATGTTAGGCGATGTCTCAAAGTTATAATATCCCTTATGTTTCAATAAGATTGACCACCAGTGACATAGGTGGTGCATGCATCCTGAGAATATAGCATTATAGAATTGTGTATATAATGCTAGGCTCTCTAAATTAGTTTTCTCTCACAAACTCAAGCCCTCCATTTGGCAAGTGGAGTTTAATTTCTTTGTGTAAATTGTACTAGTCTTTTAAATTTTAACTCGTAATGTTAACTAGTTCTTTGGAGAGTTTAGAGAGTTAACTATCTAGTAAAGGTGCTGTCTTTTGTCCTGCACACTTGATTAACTTTAATTGTTGTACATTATGTCTAGTCTCTTTCTTCCACAAACTCAGTCAAAGTCAGAAAATTCATTATTACTTTCTGATATTTCCTGGTCAAATCTCTAGTTATTCTGCAAACTATTATTCACTCTTGGGGGAATTCAAATTTAACTAAGAATACCAAAAAAACAATTCTACAGTGCATTTTTCATTGCAAAAGGCTCTGTCATAAGGCTGTCATGAAAAAGCACACCACTCCTCACCTACTTGCTTTCCATAATCCACCTAGTGTATGAGGGCAATATTGTCCTGATACCATTTCAACAGTCTGATTGTACAGAAATCCATAAGTAACGAATCCAACAAATTGAATGATATGCATTCTTATAAAACAGTATGAATACCCATTTCATTCTCAAGCTGCTTGAGGTATGCAAAAGTAAATCCTTACCTGTTGGCTTCATTTTTCAGATAGATATCCTTCTTGAATATGTTACACACTGTTGTCTGGGGTATATGGAATGCTTTTGCCTGACATTTGTGTTTGTAGATTCTCACTTGCTATATAAGGACATACTTTATTTACCACAGCTTGGGTACAACTAATTGGTTTCTTTCTGGATTATACTAGTTTCCCAAATTGATCTATATTCCTTTGTTTTTCAATGCCACTGAGTACATGGGATATCCCTGAACACATCATAATGCGTATATCAATATTTTGCAATGGAAAGAGCTGTTACATTTCCTTCCCCAAAACAATCAATTTGGTGGCATCACATTACCTACAAAATGTTGTTCTAATACATGCCATTCTACCATGAGTTTATATTGTCTGTGTTTGTCATATTATTTGCTGATTTACATATTCAAAATTAAAATGTACTAAGTCCTGTATTACTATCTGTAGTTAGGATCTGTCTAGCTTTAATTATGTAGAATAAATAATATTTAAAGTTCCATGTGGTATGAACACTTTTGGTGTTACTGTATCATTTATAATGTTCAACAAAATGAATACTGTCCTCATTATAAGATGGTATGCAGTAGTCCCAGATAAGTGTCTTTAACATGGAGACCAACTGGTAACAGGGATTGCTCACTTTTTATACACCTATGGTAACATTGCTTGAGTGCTAATATATTTAACTGGTGATTCATGGGTTGTCTTTGGTAAAAGTTCTTTAAACTAGTATTCAACAGTCTTAACACATTGAAGTTTTAATTCACCTTTTCTTTTAGAAGTTGTATTATTGGGAAAGGACTGAGAAAATCTGCATTGTGGAGAATAAATGCACTGGACATTTTCTTGACTCAAGATTTAGAAAAAAATGCAACTAACTTACCACAGCTACTTTTTTCTTCATACTGAATTTTCAATATTAAGCATCCATGAATTCCTTTTTACCTATTCATGGAACATAAAGAAAAGTTTTCATTAATATGATGCTAGTTACAGTAAATACAACATAAATATCCTATGCAGGGCACTTATTGCCTCTAGTATCATTGGTCTCATTATATCTATAAACAACAAATTTACAACATCAATAACATAACGTGTTAAAATATGTGTGTAAACCCTGTTGATCAAAGTACAACAGGAGCATTTAGGATTATGTTGAGTGTAACTGATTCTATGATTGTCTTTATTTTGGGTTTACCTCATAAGGCAGGAACATGTACATTTAAACTTTTTCATGGAATATTTGTAAAAATGAGGCAGATGTCCATAATACAGGTAAACACAATAGTACACAAATATACTGTCCACAGTATACCTTGTGAGTGTGGTAAACAGTACATCGTAAAAACTCTGCAAGCACTTTCTGTTGAAAGAATATACACAAAACATAAGAAACTTTGTTGTTCATATGACAGCCTTAATGTCACACATCTATCAAAATTATCACAGAATAATAGACAAAACCAACAATGTACACAGGCCCCACTGAACACTGATTGGCATCTTTCATTGAAAAAAACAAAACAATTATTGAAATAGACAAAACATTTAACTTTAATACATATCATGTGTAACTTCAAAACTTCAGATTCTAAAGTACTATTGAAGAGTAAACCCTTTTAACCTTATACCAATTGAACGTATCTCAATAACACTATTATGTTACTACGACAGATGAATGTACATAGGGTGGTCCATGTATGTATGGTAAAAAATGAAAAGTGAGAGCTCCTGATGCATTTTTTCATTCCTTATATGGAGACAGACCTCAGACTGAATTTTAAACTAAGAACATCAATATTTAACGGTGGCACAAATTTAAAGAAATTTGCCACAAGTTTACTTCTCCAGTAAATTTTCCTAATTATCCTTTGTCTATCAGTTGGCAAACAATAATACTGTTGCATGATCTCGTAAGTTTGTTATATGATTACGTACCGTATATTATAATTCAACATATTTGGATCATATATCCTGCATTTTCTAGATTTAAAAGGCAGCAATCCAGCATCATATCAGATGACATCACAGTTTTTGATTGTTGATTGGTTGTAGTCTTGTGGCATAATGTTTTAAGGGGTAACAGTTTTTAGGCTTTGAATGACACTCACTTCTCTCCAGACAACTGAGCTGTGTAGATGTTCCTAATTTTGTAAAGATTAGTCCCTCTCTCTTTTACCTTAGTTTCAGAAAATTATGCATGGTGTTTATGTGTTTTTATTTGTGCTGTTTTAGTAAATAGATTTATTATAAGTAATTGTCATTTAGAATCCTATAACTAGATGTGGTTCATCAATTATATTAATCTTAAATTAACTTATAAATTAGAGTTGTTATTTTTGAATTAACATTTGGCATATCCCTGAATCAATATCCTGATATCTTTGCTACCATGACCAGCACTGGGTAGAGGCCTTTGTTAATCAGCAAAAAGCCATAATAATATGTAGTAAGAGCAAGGAGTAATACCTCTTTCAAGTTCTGCCATTGTTTTTGTCCTTACGTTATGGCTACTCTGCAGATGAGAAGCACTTCTGATGTTTGGTTAGTGAGGAAACCTACTCCTTACCATATATACTCAACGCTTCCTTAGAAGAAGCAAGTTCTTTTAAAGTGTCTGTTTCACCATGTAAAGGAGAAGAAGACTATCTGAGAAAGCTGTCGTCTGGCTGTGGGAACAGCTTTTGTTTATTGGCAAAAGGCCAGGATACCGACAACAACTCCCAACTATGATATATTGAAGGTAGAAAACTTGATGACAGAGTATAAAGCCCTGAAAAAGACCAAGAACAAGCCACAATTAAGAAGCCTACTGCATGATGAAGGACATCTTTTGTGGAGATATAAATGAATTATTTGACATTTCTCACATAAAGGAGGAGTTAAAAATGAGGAAGGAAAAAAAGATAAACAATTCCTAGCCATGCAGAAAAAAAGATATAAGCTATTCAAATTTCAAAGGTGTTGACAAGCTCCTCACTCAGAAAGAGTCTAGGAAGCAGAAATGGGACTTGAAAGAAAAAGCATGGGTAAAAAAAAATATCAGAACAGGATGTTTAAGCACTAACTTTGATAGAATCAATTGGTCCTGTCTGGTTCTCTGGATCCGGCTCAGACATAACAGATGAAGAAGAATTAGCATTCAAGCCACCCAACACTTCTGGCACTCAAAGTCATTGACTCACCAAGCAGCATAGAAAGGTTCTGTCCTTAGAAGTACTTTCGTCCTTAAATTGAGTGAACCTGACAGAAAGGCCTCATTTGTCCTCAATGTTGCTGTTCTGTCTTTTGGACACAATTTGAAGGATGTTGTACTCTCAAGAAGTTCTGTAATGTATTTGTCGTACAAATCAAAATGAGATTGTCAAAAGAGAGAGGAAACTTTCTCCTCATATCATCCCCTTGTACTTCATTGGGAAGTAAAGCTTCTTCCTGACATCATTCAAGAGCTAGAGAAAGTTGATCAGATTGCTATTGTTGTGACTGGAGGTGGAGAAGAGAAGCTCCTGGGAGTGGCAAGATTCACCCTTAGTATGGGAAAGCAGCAAGCACATGTTTGTGTCCTTTAAGAGTGGAAGCTACAAGATGTCACTCAAAGAATCTGTTTCAATACAACTGCATTAAACACTGGGCTCAAGAGTGGTGCTTGCATCTTGATTGAACAAGCTCTGGAAAGAAATCTTGTTTGAATTGCTTGCTGACACCATATATTTGAAATTATACTTTCAATGGTGGACTATTGGTCCATCAAGTGGACCAGATATTAATCTGTTTAAAAGATTCCAAGTATGATGGACATCACTTGACAAGTCTCAGTTCAAAGACTGCCAATGATGATGAAGATATTCATCTTCTCTTAATCAGCACAATGAAACAGGAAAGGGATGAAGAAATGCTTTGTTTGAACAATATGTTACAAATGAAATTATATCCCAGAGATGATTACGAAGAACTCTTGAAGCTTTAACTTGTGTTTCAAAGCTCCCTCTGAAGTGATGTTCAGAGCTCTGGGGGCATATCATCATGCATGTTGGATGGCTAAAGCCATATATGCTATCAAAATATTTCTCTTTCGAGAACAGTTCAAACTGACTGACCAAAAAATCAAGGGCTTGACACAAGCATGCCTTTTCATAGCTGTGGTCTCCCCTTGCTTCTTCAATGAAGCTCTTATAGTGACAGCTGCATCCCTCAATGACCACACCATGATGTTAAAAATATCTGCATATCTCAATTGTTCAGATGCCGATACTGCAATGGCAAGCTTCAAACAGCACTTATGGTATTTATCAGAAGACTTGGTTGGTTTGGCTCTGTTTGACGACAGAGTTCAGATAACTACTAAATGTAAAATGGTGAAAAATCTCAATATACCAGAGAAGAAAGAAAACCTTCACTGACTCGAGGGGAAGAACTTTATTATCAAGGCTCCTTTCCAATCCTATGTAACAAAGAGGCTCTTTTAACATATTCTACATCTTAAATTTAAACACAAAACAGAAAGCAAAGACATTCCTGGAGAAAGACCCTGCAGACTGGAAAGGGATTCTGTAATAGGAAGAAATGAAGAATGCAGCGAGAGGTATTGCTCTGATTCAAGAATTTAGCTCTTCTATCACTAAGTATGAAGATCAAAAGTAATACCTACTCTACACAGTTAAACTACACCAAAAGACATTTTCAAACCCCAGAAAGGAAAATTTAATGTCATAAGTGATATAATAAATTGTTGTACTATTATTATAGTTATATGCTGTGAAAATATGCATGACACTATTAAAAATTTTATTCAGTTTGCTGGTGATTTTTGCAGCTTTGTTTGTGTTACTGAATAAAAACCATAATAACATCTATTTCATTTGTTCTTCCCTACAATGTATAATGATACTGAAGTGTTCAAGTTGTGCCATCTTTGAATATGCATGAATCGATCCAGTTTTTTATTCCAACATTGGTGGTGGTAGTGGAATATAGGCAAATATCATGCGAAATAATTTTTCATTTCATTATTTTTGGACCACCCAAATGTACATACATACTTATATGGATGTATATGTTGCATATATATATATATATACATACACACACACACAATTTAATTTTGTAGAGAAGGAAGAGCAAAATAGATAAATAAGCAAAAAAATATACTTTAAAAAATGAAAATGCAGCCACAAAACAAATATCCAACACTGAGGCACGAATCTTAAGGTGGGTCATTATGTAATATGCCCTGGATTTTTTTGAGGTACTAGTGGAAGTATGACCCAAATTGCATTGTGGTTACACTATCTATATGGTTTAACCTCAATTCTGCTGGCCTCACATGCTTAGAAGCAAAGAGAAAAGGAACAGATGCAAGTTCTCAAGTCCACCTATATAAGATAAGGACATAAGAGCAGTATATCATCTCACTTACAAGAACTGTAAAGGTCTCACAGCTGATCAATGCCATAAATTACATGACTTGCTCAGAATATCAAGATACCTTCTCTAGTGAACCTCATGACTTAGGATGAAGAAAATAAACATCTAATAACATTGATAATATATCAGTTAGTCAGACAACTTCCACTTGCAAAGCAGTCTGAGACTTTCAAAGGGATAGATTCCATGATGGAACAAGAAGTAATAGAACTGAGTATTAGTCAATGGGCATCAACTAGTGTACATATGGAGAAGAAAGATGGGTCTACAAGGTTCTACATGGACTTCTGGAAGATGAATGAAGTCATAAAAAAGATGCCTACTCACTGCTAAGGACAGACTCTACTTTGAATGCTCTATCTGGATCAAAATGGCATTTAACATTGGATCTGAAGAGTGGATGTTGACACGTGCAAGTTGACAAAGAAAGTAGAGAGAAAACAACCAGTCTTTACCATAAAAAACAGATTTTGACAACTTGTTGTGTTACCATTTGTATTATGTAATGCACCTGTTAC